TTTTTTCACATCCTTTTTTTAAACAATTTTTTTTTTAAATGATGCTTTTTTAGTGCCGCAGAAATAAAAAAAAAAAAAAGAAAAAAAAAATTTTTAACTGAAAAAACTTTTATATATATATATATTTATATATATATATGAATTTTTTAAAATGTAAATTATGTAGACTATTTTATGTGATAATTTGATATTTGGTTAAATTTTGAAGCTTTAAGTAACAAAAATATTTTTTTTTACATATGAATTTAAAAGTAAATGTTATTATGAAGGTATAAAAGTAAAATTTAAATTAATTCCATACTTCATTTTCATTATATTTGAATAGAATTTAAAAAAAAAAAAAGAATAAATAATAACGTATTAAAAAATTGAAAAATATTATACGTTGTCTTTATAAGTAATTTAAGAAAGTTCTAAATATATAAGATATAATTTAATTAAATTTAATTTTTTTTCTTTTTTTTTTTTTTTTTTCCTTATACAAACAAAATTAAATTTAAAATAAAAAAAAAAAAAAAAAAAAAAACAAAAAAAAATTATCCAAACTGGAAATAGATTCCCATTAAAATTATTTCTGCCAAATGTGTATTGTAAAAAGTAATATCTATATATTTTTTATTTATATATTTTAAAATCTTAAAAAGAAATCATTATAAAAATATTACAATACATTGCATTTTAGGAAAGCTTCAATATATCTTTTTAAAAGTAATAACAAATAGTAATAATAAAAAAAAAAAAATAAAAAATACCAATATAATATTTCCACTAGAAAATATTAAAATAATTTCCACAAATTCTCAAATTCTAAGCAAATAGCTGAACAGCAAGTAGCAGCACTTAAACTAAATTCAGATATATTGATATTTTCATCTATTATTTCTATATCCATTGTAGGATTTGTATAAGCCACCGCTCCTATAAAAAATGTTATAGGAACATTCTCATTTTCAAATTTTTTTACATAATCAGATAAATTAACTTTCTTTCCCTTCATTGATAACCCTATTTTTTTACCATTAACTGGTAAAATATTATTGTAATCATTTTTAATAATTTTTAATAAATAAATACTTTTTTCATTCGCTTTTATCTTATATTTTCTTAAAAATGTAACCATTAATGATTCAAATTGTTCATATGTTTTAGGAATTTTTAAATGAGGAGATACATAAAACAATTGGTTGTCATGAGTTTTTACATAAACCTGCAGCATACCATACTTATTTAAGGGACTTTCTAATAAATGAATTAAACATTGATGCAAAATATCAGGCCTACAGTCGTTTATATTTTTCTGATTTCTTTCTTTTAATATATATTTATGCTTAATGTTATTAGTTAACTCGTATATATATCTTTTTGTTTCAATCAATTGTAAATATGCACCTTCTAATATTATTATAACCTTTTTCCCTTTGTTTATTTCTGAAATGTTTGTCAGGTCATATTCATTATTCATTTTTTTTAACTTTATCAAAAATATAAAGCCATATTAAAAATATTTATATATATTTATATATATATATATATACAAAATAATTTTTAAAATGAAATATGACAAATAAAACAAAATAAGAATAATATATATATATAATTAATTATGGATTATAAAAAATTTAAAATAAAAATATTAAGGTGAAAATGAAGAAAAATATAGAACCACATATAAAAAATTATAAAAATTTGTACAAGTTTTATAAAAAAATATAACGAATATATATGAATTTTTTTCTTAAAAATAATAAAATAAATAATGTATAATTTGTAATAAAAATTTCAAATTTTAACCTAATATATATATATAAAAATGAACTTTGAAAAAAAAAAAAAAAAATATACATATATATATAAAATAAAATCGAATTTTTCTTTCATGTATTACTCTCTATAATATTTTAATGTACATAAAACATAAATAATATAATTTTATTTCTATGAAAAAAAGTTTATATCATATAAATATATACTTATATATTATTATTTTATTTTTATTTTTATTTTTATTTTATTTTTTTTTTTTTTTTTTGTTTGAAAGCATAACTATGATATTTTATATATATAAATATGTAAAAATGAAAAAATATATTTAAATGTTTCTATTTATATTAATATATATACTTATAGAAATATTTATTATATAATTTTTTTTTCTAACGTATGTTTTTTATTAATGAAAAATTATTAAAATTTAAAAAAAAAAAAAAATGACTACTACAAATAATATTAGGATATATAATTTGAAGGCTTTTCGAGAATTACGAATTGTTACATTAGAAAAACCTAGTAAATTTGATGAAAAAGAAGAGTGCATAAAAGTAAGAATATTATCTAATAACACTTTGAATAAAAGTGAAAAGAATATGTGTACAGCAGAAATATTTGGTAGGGAATTAATATTAGATAAAGACTATTATTTTGGTTTTAATGAAAAATTTTCAATATACACTTATACTGGATGTATTATTCAAATAAAAGGAAAAACATTACAAGAATATGAAAGCAAAAATTCTACTATGAAGGATTATTTATCTTTGTCTTATATTTTAGATGCTTATAGAAAATTAGCAAAAAAAAAAAAACAAATTGGTCCTAGAATATTAATAACTGGAAATAATAATTCAGGAAAGAGTTCTGTTTCTTTATTATTATGCAATTATGCATTAAAATCTGGGTTTAAACCAATTTTTATTGAAACAGACACAAAATGTAGTTGTGATAAAATTGAATTAAATAATGGACCAGGTATTATGAGCTGTTTTGTTTATGATAATATGAATATGAAATATTCACTTGATTTTTTTTTTGGTTATTTAGACATTAATGAAGATATAAATTTATATTATCATATTAATGAATGTTTAAGTAGTTGCATACATTTAATGTTGTTGAATAATTTAAATTTTCAATCAACTAATTTTAAAAATAATACAGAACAAGAAGTAATATATTCATCTGGATTTATTTTAAATGTACCATCAGAAGCAGATCACAAAATTATTCAAAATTTAATTGAAATTTATAATATTAATATAGTTATTGTTATTGATAATTCTTTTCTTCATTATTCACTGAAAGAACATTACAATAAAGTTGATTCAACTAGTATTGACGAAGTAAACTATGATATTATTTTAAATAATAACAATAATAATAAAAATATTGATTGTAATAATGATGATAACAATTTAGACAACCCTGATAATAATAATAATAATAATAATATCACAGATAATAATGAAAATAATAGTAATGATAATAATAAAAACAAAAATGTCAATAATGATAAAACAAGAAACGTTGAAATTATAGGGATGCCTAAATTTGAAGGAGTAATACCATCTGATAATAATCGACTACGATATTGTAGAAATCTATGGTTTTATAATTACTTTTCAAAAGATATAAATGTTAATAATACTTTTTATAAAAAAAGTCATATATTAAATTTTAAATATAGTTCAACCAATTTTGTAAAACTAGATACAAATTCAGCCGTTCCTTTATCAGCTTTACCAGCTGATTGTAAAAATAAAAAAATAGAAAATGTATCAGTTAGCTTATACAGTAGCAATATCAAAAATTTAATCAATTGTATTTTAGGTGTTTCTTATTCTAATGATTTCCTTTATGTTCATCTTATGAATATAGCTGCTTTCGTTCATGTTCAGAATATAAAAGAAATTGAAAATGAAGAAAACGAAGAAAATAAAAATGATTATTTAATCGAAATTCTATGTCCAATTTCTATAACATCAAATAATATCCCACCTTATTTTATAGTTCCTGGAAACATTAAACAAATTAAATTTTAATTGAAAAAAAAAAAAAAAAAAAAAAAAATTAAATAAAATTATAAAATTATGACCTATTCAGATTTTATTATAAATTTATAAAAAAATAAAATAAAATGAATAGAAATTTTCTTTATTTCGTCATTTTTTCTTTTTTATTAAATACCGTGTTCATAATTTTTTTTTTTTTTTTTTTTTCTTTTTTTTTGTTAATACATTTTTAATGTTTTATTTTTTAATTGTATTAAGAAAAATGTAGATATGTATAATATATATCTTTTTTTGAAAATTTAAAATAAATATAAATAAAAACATCAAAAATATATGTTTTTTTTTAGTTTAACTAATATTTATTTTTAAAGTGAATTTATTCATATAATTTTAATAATATTCTTTATTAAAAGAAAATACATTGAATTATTTCGAGCATAATAATAAAATTTTCAATATACCATACTATTGTATTTGCTAAAACAATTTTACTGAATAATTTCTTTATAACTTAAAAATAAGGTATAAATAGATTAATGAATTTTTATAAATATTATAGTATGTATTTTGAAACATTATGTTTTATTAAATTTTTTAATTTCTTATCAATATTTTCAATTTCAAATATAATATAAACTAAAATTATTTAGACAATATAGTTAAGTGATCTAAGAGGTGGTTTTTTTTTTTTTTTTTTTTTTTTTTTTTTTTTTTTCAAGTACATAAATGGTATTATTAATAAATATAAAAAAATTAAATAAAGAATATGTAAAACTATAATCGAATATTCTTTAAAAAGGTTTAAAAATGCTAAAAGTTAAATAAGGAATAGGGAAATATAAAAAAAAAAAAAAAAAAAAAAAAAAAAAAAATGACACTATTTGGATTCATTGTATGTTTCATTGGGTAAGATTGTTACTTTAAAAAAAAAAAAATAAATATATAATTTATTAAAATTTATATATATTTAAAATAAAGTTTTTGTTAATTTTAAATAAAACTTTTTAAAAATCAAAAAAATAGCATTTTTTAAGATAATAGATTATGTAAATGTAAAAAAAAAAAAAAAAAAAAAAAAAAATTTATATGCATTTAAAAAAAAAAAAAATTTGTGTATGTATAGAAAAAAAAGAATATTAAATCAAAAAAAAAAAAAAAAATAATAACAAATAAAAAAATATTTAAAAAAAAAATAAAAAAAAATTATAAATATATATATAAAAAAAGAAAATAAATACACATTTAATATATATTTTTTTTTTTTTTTAATATGTAATTTTTAAATAAAACAGTTTTTTCTGTAATAAAACCTATAACAGTTTTGATTTAAAATTTATTATATAAAAAGGAATTATTTTTCAATATATATAATATTTTATTTCAGTAAAAAATATTTTCTTTTAAAATTTATAATTTTATTTTTAATATAAAAATTAAAGATGGTAGCCAAAAAAGGTTCTAAAATTACTAAAAAACTAAAAAAAAAAACAGTCAAAAAAACAAATTTAGTGAAAGGGAAAAAACAGAAAGTAACAAAAAGCACAAAAGGAATAAAATATGTACTAGATTGCACAAAACCAGTAAAGGATACGATTCTTGACATAAGTGGATTGGTAATAATTGAAAACTTAATAAAAAAACAAAAACAATATATATAAATTAAAAAATGATTAATATTTTCTTGAACATATAAAATTTTCTTTATTATTTTATTTTTTTTTTTTTTTTTGCATAAACTGAACTATTTTTTTACTTACATTTTTTGTATTCTTAATTACAGGAACAGTTTTTTAAAGATAAAATAAAAGTAGATAAAAAAACAAACAATTTAAAAAACAAAATAATAGTAACTTCGGATGATTGTAAAATATATATAACCGTACATATTCCATTTTCAAAAAGATATATTAAAGTAAGAAATTATAATAAGATATTTTTATTAAAAAAGAAAATTCTCAGCATATTAATATAATTGCATTTTTTATGTAAATACATATATAAATTTTTTTTTTTTTTAGTATTTGGCTAAAAAGTATTTAAAGATGCATCAGATTAGAGATTTTTTGAGAGTCATTGCAAAAGGAAAATTAGCTTATGAATTTAAATATTTTCAATTAAATAATTAAATTAGAAAATAAAAACAAATAAAAGATAAATAAAAATGAATTTTTTAAAATTTAACTGTTTCTTAATATTTTTGAATTAATTAATAGATTTTATGTATGATTGTTATTATTATTTTTATTCTTCTTTTTTTCTATTCTTTTTGTTTTAGCAAAGAAGATAATTTTTTTTCTAAACCATGAAGTTACATTAAGAACAATTTTTATTTTGATAAATATCTTAAAAAACTCTATAATTTTATAGTAAAAAGTTGCATATATATATATATATATATATATATATATATATATATATATTGTAATTTATATTATAAAGAAAAAAAAAAAAAAAAAAAATTCACTTTAGAAATATTTTTTCTCCTTATAAAAAATCAGTAGACAAAAGTTAATGTAAAAAACTTTATAAAATTATAATTCAATTTAAAAAGTTAGAATATTAAAATTTTTTAATTTTAAACTGTAAAATTTCACCATTAAATAAAGATGTTTTTTTAAAAAAACAATTCTAAATACATAATTATGTGAATAAAAAATTATTCTTTTTATAAAAGTTAGGTGTTGCGAGTATAATGAAATTATTGAAGAAAATAAAAAATAAAATTTTTATTTGATAAAAAGTTTTCAAATAAAAATTTTTAAACCTGATTATAATATTTTTTTATATTAAAATTATAAAAAAAATTTATCATGCATATTTTTTTTTTTTTTTTTTTTTTTTGTAAAATCGCATAATGTATTTTTAAGTTTTGAACTTTTTTGTAATTTTTTGTTTGAATATTTAAAAAAAAAATTCCCAAAGATGAATATATATTTACTCATAATTTTGAACTAAAAAATACATTTTAAATAAAAAAAAAATATATATTAATATAAATAAGAAGAAAAATAGAGAAAAAAAGTAAAGTAAAAGTTTTTTATTATAAAAAAATTAATTTAAAAAAAAAAAAAAAAAAAAGTTAAAATTTAAACATAAACTTAAAAAGGAAATAACGACAATAAGTAATCTTCTCTGTAATAATGGTTAGAACATTTATCTCAATTTAAATCAAGCTGCATATATTTTTATTAATTTATATTTATTAAAAATGTATTATATATATATTTAAAATTGTTTATAAATGTTTTAGTATATATAAATATATATATTTATATATATATATAATTTTATAAATATACTCTTTATAATTTTTAATATGAAGGCAAAAACTAGTAGTTCTAATTCGGGAAATATGAGTGGTACTCCAATAATTGTTGGTGGTATGAGAACAACTGCTAGGTAAAAAAATCTATATATAATTATTACATTTATTTAATAAAAAGATGACTAGATAAGGAATATATATATAACATTAAAATAAATAATTTAAAAAATATAATGAATATTTTATATTTTTTTCTGAATTGTAAATATATGCATAATTTTTTTTATACTATTAACTATATATGAATAAACTACAAGATTAAAATAATCAATTGATAAATATATATAGAATAAATTAAGAAAAAATATTATAAAAAGAAATGTACAGTATAGAATAATTATATTTGTATTTCTTTAGGAGAAGACAAAATACAGGATCATCTAATACCTCAAAGCAAAGAAGAAATTTAAGTGGGAATACAAATAGCATTGTAAAATTTTATGGAGATGATTCACCTGGTTTTAAATTGTAATATATATATATATATATATATTTAATGTATATATGATATATTTTTTTAATTTGTGCTCATTTTTTTATTTAGGACCCCACAAACTGTATTAATTGCGACATTGATATTTATGGCAACAGTAGTTATTTTACATATAATTAATAAAATTTAAAAAAGAATGAAAAAGAAAAAAAAAAAATCTAAATATTATAACATTCATATTATCGTATGAAATATACAGAAATTGGAAAAATTTACTCTGAATATAACTCAAAATTAAGAAATGAATTATTATTTTTTTTTAGTTAAGTAAAATATTAAAAAGTTTTAGAGGTAGAATAATAATTACTAATTATATTTCTTTTTATTTGAATAGATTTTACATTTTTTATATAAATAAAATTTTTTTTTTCTTTTTTTTTTTTTTTTTTTTTTTTTTTTTTTTGTTACATTAAATAGAACAAGTTTTAATAAAATTTATTTATGATTAGTTATTTCAAAAATCTAATAAATGTTAAGTAATTATTAAATTAAGTAAATAACACTAAAAAAAAATTATTACAGAAAGTATATATAAATGTTTTTAAATAAATATGCTTATAATTTAAAAAAAGAAAAAAAATTTATTCATGAAAAGATTTGTTTAACTCTTCATTTAATAACAAATTTTGTTCTTTAACTTTTTTTGCTTTTTCTAAATATAATGAAAAGTAACTATCGAGTCTAGGCATCTAAAATAAATAGAAAAAATAAAAATATTGTATTAATTTATACGACAATGTATATATATCTTATTTTTTTTTTTACCAGTTTTTCAAAATTTAAAACTTCTTCTTCATTCATCCATGTCAATTTATGATTCTGGCTAAAAAATATAATTTAAATAATAATTAAATAAAACATTTTATATATTTTCTTTAGATTTTATAATTCTATTTTCTATTTAAGATATGCATATATTTTTTATTTTTAACTTGTCAACAAAACATAATACTGGTTCATCTTTTCCATCCTCATCACTTTTACCCACAAATATGAAACATTTTTTACCAGAAGGAAACTGAATTAACAAACAAAAATGAGTTTATATATATTAATGTAAAACTGTTAAGATATTGTATTCATGAAAAAAAAAAAAAAAAAAAAAATTAAAATATACAATAATAAATATAAATACATATATTTATGTGTATAAATAATTATGTAACTTAATAATATACTTACTTTTAATGTCCTTATCTTATTTTTTGGTGGCCAATAAATAAATCTCTTACTAATTTGAAATATTTTTTTCATTATAATTCTACATATATATATATATATATATATATATATATTTAAATTAAGAAAATTATATCTTATAGGAAAAAATATACTATTATTTTTTTTGAAATATAGTTTAAAAATGAAGCTATTAAATATTTCTTATTATAATTTTTTTTTTTTTTTTTTTTTCTTTTAGAATAAAAAAGTTAGTCATAAAGTGATAAAAAAAAATAATGGTTTTACCCACTATTTTATGAAATTATTTAATTTTAAAAATATTTTTAAATAATTTAAAATATATTTTTAAATTGTTTAAGAATAATATTATTATTAACAGTAGAAATTCCTTTTAGGGGGAATATATAATCTATAACTTGTAACGATTTAAATATATAATATGTAAATGAAGAGATACTAAAAAAAAAAAAAAAAAATAAAATAAAATAAAATATATAATTATATGAAGTTATCATATTTATTATTCTTCATAGCAATTATAATTATGTTAAACTATAATTTTCAATTATTTTTGAATATAATTAAATCATGTAATTTTTTTTTTTTTATTAAAAGTATAAATAATAATAATGTTTTTAAAAATTAACAGAGCATATTTTGCTAAAAAATGTGTAAACAGTTTAAGCTATCCTTCAAAACAGATTCTCCAAAAACGTAATGTGAGAACAATCAATATAAGAAAAAAATTAAATAAAGTATTTACACAAAATGAGAAAATTTCTTATTATGAAGAAAAACAATTTAAGAGTGATCCAAGAAATTTATGTGAAGAAATAAAAAAAAATAATTTGAAATGGCATAATGGATTGGAAAAGGAAGAAAATTACAAAAATAGATATATAGATGAAATAAATAAAAATGATAATAATAGTTACAGTGAATATTTTGATGAATATAATGGCAAATGTTATGATAAAAATAATGAAATAATTTCTGATAAAAATAATGAAATAATTTCTGATAAAAATAATGAAATAATTTCTGATAAAAATAATGAGATAATTTCTGATAAAAATGAAAATGAATTAATCCCTGATGAATATAAATTCATTTTTGAAAGAGCGAAACATTATGCACATATTGATGATGACCCAATTATAAGAAGACCAGGATGCATTATAGATATAAAAACATTAATGAGAAATAACTGGACATTTCCTGCTGTTGGTTTTAATAGTAAGTTAGAAATACCAATTTATAAATTTGAATCTGATGAAAATGACGACAAGATTAAATTTATTACGGTACCAAATGATATTTTTGGTTTACCGATAAGATCAGATATATTACATAAATGTTATTATTTTTACAGAACAGTACTAGCAGGATATACAGAAAGAATGCAATTATATAAGTGGGAATGGCCAGGAAGCACTAAAAAATACCGAAGTCAAAAAAAAAGTGGAAAAGCAAGAATGAATTGGAGAAAAACATGTGGGAGATATTTAGGTGTTAAAAATCATCCTATAAGACCTCATGATCAGAAAACTAATATTAATAAGAAATTTTTATGGAAAGGAATGAAAATTCTTTTGTCGGCAAAATTTGCACAAGATCAAATAAAAGTTGTAGACAATTTTTTAATTAAATCACATAAAACAAAATATACAGTTAAATATTTAAGAAATATTTTAGGAAGAAATTGTAATAGTGCCTTACTAGTACATGAAGGAAAAACAGATGTGAATGATAATTTTTTATGGGCATGTGCAAATATAGCAAGTATAAAAAGAGAAAATGTAGAAGGTGTTAATATTTACAATTTATTAAAATATAGATATGTTATTTTTACCTATAAAGCTTTAAATAATATTATATATGAATTGAAAACTTATCCTTATAAAATGAAATGGCTTCCCACATATGCAACACCCAATAATACAAGAGCACCAAAACCAGAAAAAGTGAATAATTGGAATATTTTATGGATTGAAAAAAAAAAAAGAAACAATTTTTCACAATTTGATAAAGATGCTTTAAAAAAAAGAATTCAAGAATGGAAATGGTCTAGTGATTTAAAAGGACCATTAAAAGTTAAAAAAAAAGATCCTTACAAAAATTTTATATTAACTAAATTTCAATGCAATGATCCATTACCTGAATTTATTAAATATGAATATATATTTAATGTTGAAGATGAATTTGATAATATTAATGATAATGAAGATCATTTTAATATGATTGATGAAATATTAAATGATGATGAGTGTCTAGAAAATGTTTCTAGTCTCTCATCACCTATATCCACACTACAAGGTAATTATAAGAAAATAACAAAAATTAATCACTTAAAATTAACATACATATATTATCTATGCTTTTTTATTTATTATTTACACAATATATATATATATATATATATATATATGTGAATAATACGTGGTTATATATATTAAACACTACAAATGAATTCAGTAAAATGAAAAATCTATAACTTTTAATTACATTTGTATACCATCCAATGTATGTTTATACCCTTTTATTGTATTTATTTTGTCATTTTAACAAAACCTAAAATATATACAGGAAATGAAATACATTTTTTACATTTCTTTTATAAATAATTTTTTAGAAAAAGGAAATACTCATGAAGATGATGATAATGAAAATGATAATGAAAATGATAATGAAAGTGATGATGAAAATGATGATGAAAATGATGATGAAAATGATGAAGATGATGATAAAAATGATAATGAAAATGATGATGAAAATGATGAAGATGATAATGAAAATGATGATGAAAATAAAGATGAAAATCATGGATAAAATAAGTATGAAGAAAGTTAAAACAAACTAAACAGTATTAATTTTGATGAAAATAAATAAAAAAAAAAAAAAAAGGATAAATGAGTAAACTTATATATATTTATTCTACATATTAGTTAAAATGTTTAATTATAATTCAACAAAAACCAATAATATTAAAAATGAGAAATATTTATCAAAGCAATATAAATTTAAATTTGAATAGTTTTATTAATATAATATATTAATAATTTTTAACAAAAAAAAAAAAAAAAAAAAAAAATTTTAAATAAAATAAAAATAAAAATAAAATATTGTTCTATATAATTTTTTTTTTTTTTTTTTTTTTTTAAATTAGACAAATACATATTTATATAAATATTATTATTTATCATTATTTCAATTTTCTGTAATTTTTAATTTTTTTTCTTTTTTAGTATTTTTTTTTTCATCTTTAATCATTTTTATTTTTGAAAAATTTGTTTGGACATAATTTATATAATTATACACATTTAACAAACTTATTTTCATTTTATCAATGGCTATTTGCCTTCTTTTTAGTTGTATCTTTAATACATTAATAATATTATTAACACTTTGATGATACCTTAAATTAGCTAATATATGAAATAAATTTATATGAACTTTTATTAAATTTTTTATTATGCTTTTATCATTTTTTCTATTATTTACTATATCATCAAATAAATCAAAAAAGTAATCCTTATACATTTTATATAATCTAATAAATTCTTCCTTTAAGTTTTTTTTTTCATTATATAAGCAATCGTCTGGTTCTAATTTTTCAATTTTTCTTTCAACATTGTAATTCATACCAAATATATTATAATTATTTTTTAAAGCTATTGGGGGGGGTCTCCCCATTAAAAAGGTACATTTATTTTTATCATATTTATCTATATCATTATATGCTAGAAGCGTTTTTATATTCTTATTTTCATTAATATCATATATATTATATATTTCATTTATTTTTTTTATAAATTGTTCATTATCTTTAGAATTATTTATTTCAAAAATCTTTTTTATATTTGCATCTTCATATTCCTCATAATAATATGGTGGAGGAGGATAACCTGATACATATTTATCGGTCATACTTTAAAAAATATATAAAAAAGTGAAACTAAGAAAAAAAAAAAAAATAAAATTGAAATAAAAAATAATTTACATATAAAATTATTTCTAGCTTAAAAAAAAAAAATTGTAATTTTACAATAAAAGGATAAAATAGAAAAAAGGAAAAAAAAAAAAATTTATAAGAAATAACATAAAAAAAAAATTAAAAAAAAAAAAAAAAAATTAGTTTAACTTATCAAAATAAAAATCCATGTTAAAATGAACTTTATAAAAAAATATATTACAATATAAAAATATTTTCAAAAAATTTCATATAAATATTCATGTAAAAAATATATCAGAAAAAATAAACTTTTATATACTTATAGAATTTTTTTTTTTTTTTTTCTGTATCTTTTTTATATAATTAATTTATTAATACTTATAAAATATCAGAATGTGCAAACAACTTTACCTATATTTAAGTTGTTTTCAATTATATAATGTGCTTTTTCAATGTTTTCAATATTTAATACTTCATGAATATAACATTTCAAAACTTTTTTTTTCAATAATGGTAATAAATTATATTCAAAAGACTTTATTAAATTTTTTTTGTATAAATCACTCCTATCATAAAGGGTGGAATTAAGTAAAAGTATTCTTTTATTTATTAAATGATATAAATTGAAATTGGAAAGTTTTGCTCCTCCTAATAAGCCATATAAAATCCATTTAGTATCTGGAGCACATATTTTTAAATTATTTTCAAACATACTTTTACCAACACAATCAAAAATTAAATTAATATTTTTTGATATTTTCAATGTGTTTTCAACAAAATTTTCTTTATTGTGATAAACATAATCTGTTGCACCTAATTCTAAAGCTTTTTTCGCTTTTAATTCATTTGAAGTTACTGCAATTATTTTATTAATTTTAAGAATATTTCTTTTTTTCTCAAAATTTAGTAATTGTAATAAATTTACACCAACACTACTTAGAGCACCATATACTATAACATTTATTTCTTCATTTTCAAAATAATTATCATATAATCTATTTATACTTTTACTTTTTTCTTCATTTATAAAATCTATATCATAATTTAAAATATCTTCTTTTCTATTTAAGTCTATATCATTATTGTTTATAGTAATATTTTTTTCTTTTATAAAATCTCCATTAATCATAGGAAATTTAGCAATAAAATAAATTAATTTATAAGCTGTCAAGAAACTTTCTAATAAACCGGCACCTTCAATAAAAGATAATGAGTTGTCTAATTTAATGGTATGATAAGAATTTGCTATTACATATTCATTATATCCATTATATTTTAAAAGTGAACAAACCTTATCATTTTTCTGAAATTTTTCACAATTAGATTCTTCTACAACCCCACTTATTTCTAAACCTAAACTTTTATCTTTGGGAAAAGATAAGTATTTATTTTGTTTTATTAAAATATCTATTCTGTTAATACCAACTGCTGTTACTTTTATTAACAAATCATTTTTTTCTTTAGAATAAATATTTTTTTCCAAAATTGGTTTTTTCAAACATTTGCTAAATACTATTTTATTTAAACCTTTTAATAAAACTCCTTTCATTTAATCGTATTTTAATTTTTCAAATAAATTAAAAATAAAAATGCATTTAAAATGGTACAAGATTAAAAAAATTAAATAAAAATATATATTTGTTATTACATTTTTTTTTTTTTTTTTTATCTTTTTTATATATTATATATATATACAAATATAAATATTTATATATAAAAGAAAAGATGATATAATAAGATAAATAAACTATATATAAATATATTATATTTTTTGAATATCACTTTAATTTCTTTAAATGTATTTACTCTTTTTTTTTTTTTTTTTTTTTTTTTTTTTTCTCTTATATTTTCTATAAAATTAAAAATTTTATGAAAAAATGTATAATATCCTTAACTTAAATGATGAATATAATTTACAAAATGAATTCATTAAAATCAGAAAATTATTTGTAAATATATTTACATTTGAATTATATTATGTGGAATATTTAAAATTAAAAAATATATTTTTAGAGTTACTAAAAAATGAAAATATATCAAAGTCAAGTAAAGAATCAAAAAGTGTCAAGAGAATTCTCAGCTTATATAAAAAAGAATATTGTTTAAAAAAAAATGATGATATATTTGAATTAAAAAAAAATATATGCTTTATAGAGAAAGAAATTTTAAATAGATTATTTCAAAATATAACTATTAAAAATTCCAATTTCATTATAAAACAGAAATTTGCCTATCTTTATAACCTATTCAGAAATTTTTATTTTCTTTTAGTCAAAGGAAAAGGAAATACTTATAGGAAAAAAAGATTTTTTTTGTGTAATTTCTATATTAAAAAATTCAGCATACTTTTAAATTATCTTATAAATGTTAATAAGAAAAATATTTATTACGAATATATAAAAAAACAGTTACAAAAATACTCAAATACGAAAGAAAAGACAAAAAAAAAAAAAAAAAATGGACATTGTATTTATGTATATAAATCTACCAACCCTTACAAAAGTGATAAGAATAATTCTAAGAAAAATAAAATAAATAAAATAAATAAAATAAATCATTTGAATATCATTAATTATACTTATAAAATGAGTTCATATAATTATTGCATTGATAGAAAAAGAAACAAATATTATAACTTAAGTTCAAACTTTATTAATAAATTAAAAATTGATATAAGTAATGTAAAGTATGTTATTAAAAAAGCTGTGTATAATGATTTTTACTTTAACGTGTTAAACTGTATTTTTTACTCTTTCATAAACAGAAGTATTTATTTTATTTCTAATTCATTGTATTCTTTATACTCTTTAGAAAGAACTGAGAATAATGAGAAAACTACAATAAAATATAATAACAAGTCTCCTTTAAATAAATTAAAACGTTTAAATAGTTTGTTTACATCTGTTAAAATACTCTTTATTTCTTCTAATATGTATCAAAAATACGTTAAAAATGAGTTATTTTTTGATGAATTATTTCTATTTAAACATATAAGAATTTTACTAAAAGAAAACATAGAAAAACTTTTGTTTATAACCATAGTAAATATTAACAGACTATATATTCAATTATCATTTAAATACTTATTCAATTTATTTCTTTTTTATTTCATTTTTTTGGATATAAATTTTTTCTGTTCTTTTTTTTTAGTACATAATGAAAATAACTTAACAAATAAAGAAATAAGATTTTGTAAATATTTGACAGAAGTCAATGAAAATAAAAATTGTAAAAAATATCATAAAAAGGAAAATAATTATGAAAAGGAAAATCATAATAATTATAGAAGTAATAATAATAATTATAGAAGTAATAATAATAATAATAATAGAAGTAATTATAATAATAATAATAAGGAAGAATTTTATACTTTGTGTTTTTTTTGTTCTTTCAATAAATTAAAAAAAGAAAATTTAAATGTAATAGAAAAAAAAAAATATTTTATCTTTATTATCATATGTATTCTGAGATGTAACTATACAACTAAAATTAAATATCAAGATTCTCTTTTTAGTTATTTTTTTAACAATTTTGTGAACAAATTTTTTTATTTTGAAAATTTTCAAATTGTAAATAAACATTTTAATAAAAAACCAGAAAATGAAGTTGATCACTCATATAAAAATTGTTATTACAACAATAAAAACAAAATTAAAAAGAATTTTAATATTTTCTTTAATAAATTGAATAAAAAAAATGCATATTTAAAATCTTTTTATAATATTATATATAGAGAAGAATTAACTATTTATAATTCACACAGAAAAAGAGAATATACATATTCAAAAGTTAATAAATCAAATATACAAAACAATTCGAATAAGAAAAATACTAAGAAAAAAAATAATCTATCAAATAATATACATATTTTATCACCTAAAAATGATGTAAATAATATAATATTCTCTCATATTAGTAATACCACTTATACAGAAGATATAAATATTTTTTATTATTTAACTTCTACAAGTTATAAAAATAAGATAATAGAAAACATTCATGTAAGCAATAAAAGTACATCTGACAAAAAATTAAATGAAGAAAACAATTTACACCATAATTTTTATCCCTTAAAAAAGGAAAATAAAATAAAAAATATAAGCAGAACTGAAGAAAAAAATGGGTGTAATAATAATTTATATTACTATATTAATGAAAAAATGAAAACATTTTTTGAAAATTTAAAAATATTATTATTTCCTTTATTAAACAAGTTGTATAACAAAAGTATATTTTATTTAAACTTGCATATTTATCTATTTATTGTATATTCGTCTTTTTTATTGGATAAAATGAAAAAAGAAAACATTTTGAAAATAAAAGAAATTACTTTAACTAAAAAAAGGAAAACATTTTTAAATAATATTATTAATGAATTATGTATATATAAATATTTCGATTTTTTAAATCTATTATGTAACAATAAGTATATCATTTTAAAAAAATTAAAAAATAAAAAAATTTTTCTATATTTAAAGAGTAATTTAAAAAATTTTAATAAGTGGCATATAATGTTAGTATACAGAATAGAAAATTTTATAAATGTATATAGGTATAAATTGAAAGGAACTCTTGAAAAGAATTTTTTTCTATTAGAAAATAAGAAGGTAGATAATAGAAAATATAAAAATATATATGTAATTAATTATATATGTTATTTAAAAAAAGGAAAAAATACTTCCATAGAAAATAGAAAAAATAAATTGATAACAAAAAGAAAAAAAAATTTCATAAAAATAAATAAAAATAATTGCTTAGAAAAATATATAAGCTTGTTATACAGAAGCATAAGAATATTTCACAATATTTATATAAATATTAGTGAAGATCATTTTTACATTCAAACAAAAAAAGATTTTATCATTTTTAATCTGAAAAGTAAAATAAATAATCATGAGATTCGAGATATATATTATGAATTTAAAGGAAAAAAATATTATGTTTTTGAAAATTTATATATTTTAAAAAAAACCTATAAAATACATTATATAAATTTATGTGTGTTATTTTATAGATATTGTTTTTTTTTTTATAAATATAATCCACTCATTTTTTCCTTTTTGTTTAATAATATTTATTGTATTTGTATAAAATGTCTAAATAAATATTTAATTATAAAATATTCTGCTAGAAACAATATTGAGAAAGAAGAACATGATTGTTTTTACAAACAAAATGGAATTTTAATTAAAAATAGAAATAACATTTTTATAAAAACTTTTTATTATTTGGTATTTTTTTTAATTGTACGTTATCATACATTTATAGGAAATATAAATCATTCTGGTTCTCAAGTAAATACAAAAAAAAAAAAAAAAAAAATATAAATAATATTCAAATTGTAAAATTTATAAATGTGATATTTTATAAATTATATATAATAAAAATTTTAATTATTATTTCCATAAATTAAAAATAATTTATTCCATATATATATATATATATATATATTTATTTATTTTTTTTTTTTTTTTATATATCTATATAGAACTGTATACCTAAACGAATAATGAATATTTTAGAAAAAGAATTGAAAATAAAAAGAGAATGTTTTTCTTCTCCATTTAATGCTGTTTTAAAAAAATATTGCTCCTTTTTTAATGATATTGATATATTTTTTGGAAGTTCAGGTAACTTCTTTGAATTTAATTTACACAGCGGAACTTATGAAGTTAATCCTCCTTTTGATATTTTTTTAATTAATAAATTAATAATATACATTTTACACAACTTGAAAAAAGAATTATACGAATTAACTTTTTTTTTAATCATTCCTTTCATTAAAGATAAAAATTATTTTTATGAATTATTATTTTCGTCTCCATATGTATCCTATTACTTTTTCTTACAAGGGAATTCATACACTTTTTCAACAAGACTGTTTGACAAAAGGTTAAATAAAAAAAAGAAAAAAAAAAACAATTAACAAAAAAAAAAAGAAAAAAATTGAATATATTTTTGTATTCATATATATATTATTTATTATTTTTAATTTGTCATTTTATTAATTAATATTATTAATTCGTTCATCATTTTTTCCTTATAATTTTCAGAGAAAAAGAGTATATTTCAACTTGTGATTGTTTTGTATTCATTTTGCAAAATAATAGAGCTAGAACTCAAAAAAAAATTCATAAAAATGTTTTATTAAAAATTAAAAATTTATGGAAAACTTAAAATTTAACAAAAAAAGAAAAAAAAAAAAAAAAAAAAAAAAAATTTTTTTTTTTTTTTTTTTTTTTTTTCTTTTTTTGTTAAATTTTAAGTTTTCCATAAATTTTTAATTTTTAATAAAACATTTTTATGAATAATTTTTTGNTTAAAATTTAACAAAAAAAAAAAAAAAAAAAAAAAAAAAAAAAAGATTCATTTTAGTTGTATTCATAGGATTTTATTTTACTTTTATTATTTTAATTATTCCTTTTTTATTTATTTTTCTTAATTCAATTATATAAATATATCCTTATTTATAATAGAATTTTAGTAATATGAATTTATATATATATATATATATATATATTTAGTTTTATAAGGATCTTTTTTTTTGTAGATTTTTTTTTTTGATATATATTAATTAATCTGTTACATTTTATTTGAACATAACAAAAAATAATAATTTATATAATAAAAATATTAAAAAAAAAAATTTAAAATTAATATATAAATTATTTTACATCTACTTTATCCAAACATTCCCAATAAGAAATACTATTTCCTCTTATAACAACAATTCCTATTTCAATTTGTTCATCTTTTTTAATCTCAACTGTATTATCTAAAACTAAATTCATAAAAGTATCATAACCTCTTAATATTCCAACAATTTGCCTGTTTCCATTCAAATAAACTAAAAAATAAAAAAATAAAAAAATAATAATATAATAATATAATAATATAATAATATAATAATTATATATAAGAATTATTTATTTATTTTTTTTTTTTTAATCATTTTCTTTATTATTTTTTTATTCATACTTTGTAATCTTTTCTCCATAAATTTTCTAAAATCCGAAGCTGGGCCTGCTTTTCCTACAGTTAAAGTCATTTTGATTACTTTTTATTTTTTTCTTTTTTCTTTTTTTTATTAAAGTTTTAAAAAATACCAAATTTGTATTTTTAACTTTTTTTTTTTTTTTTTTTTTTTTTTTTCTTTGGTAGTTAATATATATTAATAAGGTCCCATGTTAATTTTCAAAAATTATGTTACTACCTTATTTTTATAATTTATTTTTTAATTTTATTTTTCAATATGTTTTTATTATTTTTTTCAATTTTTTTTGTAGTGTTTCTTTTTTATAAATTTTTTTTTTCAATTTTTTTTTTCATATTTTTCTTTCTCTTTTTTATATATTTTCTTTTTTTTTTTTTTTTTTTTTTTTTTTTTTTTATCATTGTACAAAGGCAACTTCATCTAAATTGTCAAATAAAATCATAAAAAATTTGAAGACACTCTATACTTCTCTTCACATTATTTTAAATTTTTATTATTTCAATTTTTATTTTCATTTTTAGAACATTTTTATGTTTTACAAAACTTTAAAATATTTTTATTTAATCATTTTGATATATAAATTTATCTACAAAACAGAAAAAGGAATGAAAAGAAATAAAATGATACATGATAAATAGTAAAATTAAATTTATATATATTTTTCAAAATTAGAAATTAATAATATATATTATAAATTTCATGGTAGATTAATAACTATATATATATATATATTTATATAATCTTTTTTTTTTTTTTTTTTATCTAAAAAAAGAAATAAATCACATAAAGATTATTATAAAAATGTAAATAATTATTTTTATTTTTTTATAAAAATTAACTTTTTATAATATTTTGTTTTTCATCTAATATATTCATTTATTATACTTTCTTATTTCTTTATTAAAATTACACTTAGAAAATTATCTAAAAGCTCTTATAGATAATAAAATATTCTTGTAATTTTATAAAATGATGAAAATAATAAAAAGTACAATAACAAATGTGGAAGAAAATAATATAAATTATATATAAGTACTAAAAATGAAGAGAATACTTTTAAAATTTTCTTATTTAAAACTGGAAAAAATAAATAATTTGGTTTGAAATATTAAAATTTTAAAAATTATATAAAAATTTTGACTAAATTTTATTATTATAATTCTTTTTTTTTTTTTTTTGTAAACAAAATATATATGTTGTAATGACAAAAATTCTATTTAGTTTTTATGAATGTAAAACAGACAGAATTTATATTTTCATAAATTAAAAATATTGACAACATTATTATTATAATATTAATAACTTTCATATATTTATTGATTTTATTTTTTATATATGCAAATGAATCTTTTATATTCTATATATATATATATAATATCCTTTTAATGTTAAAACTAAAAAAAAAAAAAAAAATGTAATTAAAATATTAATATTTATATTATGTAATTATTGAAGTGTAAAATTAATATTTGTAAAAAGAAAATTCTCTAAAATTTTTGTTAAATATATATCAAAATTTCATTGTTAAATTTCAAATTGTAATTTTATAGAATTCTATAATATATTTAATTTTAGTCCTATAAGACAAAAAAAGAAAAAAAAAAAAAAAAATTAAAATTGAATATTAATTTTTATAATTAAATCTTAAAAATATATTTCAAATAAAAAAAACTTATCCCGTCACTTTATATAATTTTAACATAAATTTTAATAAAAAAAGTAAAAAAAAAGATAAAAAAAAAAAAAGTAAAATAGATAAAATGAGTTATTTATTAGATGATAAAAAAATCCTATTAAAAGATATATTATGTAAAAATGAAAATTTAAAGGTAAAAATAAAAAATATATATACTTATATACAAATGTTGATTATATTAATAAAAAAATAATGATAATAATTGTAATAATAGTGTAGATATTGAAAAAAAATAAATAATAAAGAATATTGATTAATGTAAGATGTATATATAATGAAAATAATTATAAATTTAGAATAAAGTAAATGGCAACGAAATAAATGATAACAAATACAAAAATGACTAATTGTTATAATTCCATTTTTTTTTTTTTTTTTTTTTTTTTCATGGCATTATAACAGACTGAAAACGAAAATATAGAATTAGAGAATAAAGCATTTTTATGTCTAATAGAAAAATATGAAGAAAAAAAAAATTTTTTAAAAATTTTAGAATATATTCATTATATATGTATATGTTTATATAATTATGAAAATAATTTAAATTATAATGTTCCACATAAAGAATTTTTAAATAGATTAATTGAATTTTTAGATGAATCTATCTTAAATTATAAAAATATTATGAAAAAAATTTTATTAAAAGAAGAATGTATAAATTCACAAAATAAAAATATAATAGAAAATAATGATTATAAAAAAGAATTAGATAATAATGATAACAGTGTAAACTACAATGAAGTAAAGAATAAAGTATACAAAGAAAATATAGAAGATATAATTACATGTAAAAAAAATAGTATAAATGTAAAATTAAATAAAACAAATAGCGATATAAATACTTGCATTGATGATATTGATAAGATTAATCATGAAAGAAACATATTAGAAAATGAAATACAAAAAAAAACAACTAATCTAGAACATCAAGAAAGTTCTACAAGTAAACTAAATATGGATAAAGAGAATAAAGAAATAAAATATGAAATAGGTAAAAAACTAAAAATATAAATTAATAAAAAATATATAAAGATAAAAAATACACAAACATAATAAATATATAATAATCAAAAATTTAAATCCTTTATGTAAAGAAAATAATATAGATAATTCTGAAAAAAAATGTTCAAATAACTTAATAAATGAAAGGAATATTTGCTTATATTGGAATAAAGAAGAAACTAAAGATGAATTTTATTTTACACAAATTTATAAGAAGAATGAAAACATAAATAGTAAATTATTAAAAAAATAAAGAAAACATAAATAAAATTAATATGTTTATATATATATATATATGTAATTTTTTAGATACATATTTAAATTTAAAGGAAAAACAACAACTAACTTTAAATGAAATAGAAAAATTAAAGAATGAAATAAAAAAAATTACTTTATATTATGAAAATACAAAAATTTTAATAAATTCAGTAATTTGTCAAAGTAAAATATTTTTATTTGAGTTAGATGAAGAAATAAAAAATTATAAGATAAAAAAGGAAACAATAAAAAGTGACAATTTTTTAATTAAAAAAAGCAATTCTATAAATGACTTTTATAACGCAATATTAAATAAACAAAAAATGAAGATAGAAGATGTAAAAAAGACTAATGAAACTTTATTAAATTTATATAAAAAAAAATTCGCTAATATTAATTATATTATATCCATCAATGAAAATATTAATAATGTTGATTTTCTTTATTTGAATGTTCTAATTAATAATAAGAAATTAAATTACGATAAATTAATGAAAGAACACGAAAAAAATTATTCCTATTTAAGTATAATAATAATATGATTATAAAAATGAATCATTATAATAGATACTTTTTTTAAAAATATTCTTATAATAATAATTTTATCTTTCATTTTATATACATATATTAAAATTTTTTTTTATATAGGAAAACTATTAAATGAAATGAATAATATACATAAAAATATAAAGGAAAGCGAAAAAAAAGAAAAAGAAATATTAGCAAATATTGAAAAAAATAATTGTTCTTTAAATGATATGGATAAATTAATCATTGAACTTACTAATAAAATTGATAATACAACCAATCTATCAAATAAGTATTAAATGTTTTTAATTTAAAAACTAATTAATATTTATATATTAACATATTTTTTCTTTTATTTTATTAGAATAAATCAAAAAGAAAACAACGATATTCTCAACGAATGTTCTATTTTAGAATGCATCCAATTAAATAAAGATATTGTAATTTTATTTTTTTTTTTTACAAAATATATAAATTTATAAAAATTAAAATTATTATTATTATTATTATTTATTTTTTTTTTTTTTTCTTATTTATAGTCAAATTTAGAAAAAAAAATTAAATCTTATCAAAGAAAAATTGATATTATAAAAAACATAAAAATAAAAAAGTAAAAGAAAATCAGATTATTAAAATTAAAATATACTATAATAATTTTATTATTTTTTTCTTTTCTTTATATTATTTCAACTGTTAATGCGTCATTTCTTTGCTTTTCTGTAATCTAAATAAATAAAAAAAAAAAAAAAAGACCATAATTACAGAAAAAATAATAATTTATTATATATATATATAAAGTAATATAGAAAAAAAAATTATATTATTTTTTATTTTTTTTTTTTTTGCATAATATATATATTTAATAAAATATTTTTTCTTTTTATTTATTTCATAAATTATATTTAAAATTCAGTACTGTCTCATTATCAACAATTTTCAATTGTGGTAACTTTTTTAAAATAACTAACTTCATATATTCCTATAAAATTTCATAATAAAAATAATATAAATATATATATAAATATATATATATATATATATTTAAAAGGTAAAAAAAAAAAAAAAAAAAAAAAAAAAA